TGGCCAGTCCTTCCAGGCTGCTGAGCAGGGGTGCCCCGTGGGTTCTCTGAGCACCAGGACAGGGGGCCACCAAGCTGCTGGCGGGGTGGGGCCCCTTCTGCAGAGTTGAATCTCTGCTCCAGCAGCTTTCAATATGGAAATTGGGGGACAGGAGCAGAAAGGCCATTCTGGTCCCAATCCCAGTGCATGATCTCCAAACAAAGTTCACTGGTAGCAAATCTGAAATGTCTTCATTTCTTAATGGTTTCAGAAACAGAGGAATGCAGGAAATTGGCCCCTGTGAAGTGATTGCTTTCCTCTTTCATTAAAAAAAAATAGTTGCCATGTGCTTTCAGTGGCCCTGTTCTAGCTTTGCAGATGCAAAAATTAAAAAAAAAAAAAAAAAAAAAAAAAGATAAAAAGTAAGTGCTGCTCTTAAGAGGCCCAGTCTAGTCAGAATGTGGACATTGACGTCACCTGGATGTCAAAAGTTCCCCCAGGGCCCACATGGGAAATTTGCCCACGGTGGGCTGCTGGGAGATAGTGGGGCCTGGTGGGAGGTCTTTAGGTTGTTCAGGGTTTATCTGTGAAGGGATGGTGGGACCATCTCCCCTTCCCACTCATTTACTTCCTGGTCATGAGGTAAGTGGTTTTCCTCCACCACACATTCCTAAAACAACAGGACCCACCAAACATGAATGGAAAACTCCAAAACTGTGAGCCAAAAAGAGACTGTTTTTCTTTATACATTGATTATCTCAGGTATTTTGTTATAGCAGTAGAAAACTGATTAACACAACATGGAATCAAAAAAATTGAATGAGATAAGACATTAAATGTCACAATCTGTGTTCCAAAGAACACAGCCATAACAGGTCTGGAGTGAGCGGGCTCTTTGTTTTTATCTGCCTGCCAGCAGTATGCACCTGCCCTCTATTGATATTCCAGTATTCTTTAGGAAATTTTTTAACATAGACCCTTAATCCAAATACCTTGAGTAAAACCAACTCCACTGCTTGAATTCAAGCATGGCCTGTGATCCAGCTTGGCCAGTAGGGACTTTCTGTCTCCCAGGTTACGGTGATCAGTTCAAGAATGGCCCAAGACCTAATCAGAACCAATAAGCAGTAACCCTGGGACGCTCTCGGAGTTACTATGAGAAAGATGATCTCTTCACCCTCTGAGAGGAGGCTGGGAGCCTGGAGGTGGGGGGTGGGGGTCTCCTGAGGGGAGAGAGCCTGTCGGAGAATAAAACTCAGAAAGGAGAGCAAAGAATCCAAGGCACAAGATTCCTAATGTGATTCGGGACTGTGTCCGGCTGCGGCTGATGAGATTGGCATCTTCATTCATTCATTTGCCAAAAACCTCCCGGGCACCTCTCACACCCCAGGTGTTACTTGGGGCCTTGGAGGTAGAGCAGGGATAAATCCCGCCAGACCCCTGTCTTTTAAAAGGCTGTAATGCTTTAAGGGGAGGCACTGCCGTAGGACCTCTGCTTCATGCTATTGTTCAAGATTGCTCAGTGCTCTAGCTGAGCCACCTCCCACCCTCTCTTCCATTTGTTTGTTTCTGCGGTGCTGGGGATTGAACCCAGGGCCTTGCGCCTGCGAGGCAGGTACTCCACCAACTGAGCCATGTCCCCAACACTTTTTTTATTTTCTATTTTGAGACAGAGTCTTGTTAAGTTGCCTGAGCTATCTTCAAATTTGCCATCCTCCTGCCTCAGCCTCCCGAGTAACTGGACAAAATCCCCGCGTTAAGGCACTTGAAACTGAGTTGGGAAGAGACCACACTAAGAAACCAAGTAATAAACACCTGCTGGATGGTGAGACTGCCACCAAGAGAAATGAAGGAGGAAGGGGTGGGGGTGTGCCCACAAGAGAACCCCAAGGAGGTGAGAGAGGGCTGTGGGGGGAAGCCTCAGGCAAGAGGAGCAGGGGCCAGCAGCAGGGGGCCAGGGAGCAGGGGAAGGCAGGAGGGCTGGGGACAAGGAGGGAAGTGAGGTCCCCCAGGGCAGGGTCTCATGGGCGTCTGCAAGGGCTTCCTCTGTTATCCTCCCCTTAATGTGCGCTGCACCTGGGGCCAGGGGACGGGGAGGCCCTGGGGGAACAAGCAGAGGCGGGATGGAGTGTGACTCGAGTCTTACAGGTCACCTGCTGCTTCATTGAGGTGACTCTGAAGAGGGTGGGGGCCAAGTGAGGAGCCTAGGGAAGGAGGCTGTGGGAATGATCTAAGCAGGCGAGGTGGCCGCAGCTTGAAGCAGACCCGCGGTAATGAAGGGGGTGAGGACAGGCAATCAGTTCCCTTAACAGCACTTCATGTTGTTTTTCTGTCATTTGCAAGTCAAGGAGGCTCCGCCACTGCACCCTGGTCCACCTGACTCAGACGCCATCCACAGAAGAACGCTGGTATTTTATGCACCACTAAGAAGCCATGGCGCCACTTAATCTATGACATGATTCTTTCTCATCGATGACATGATTCTTTCTGTGTTAGCAGAACAGCGGTGCTCACGCTGGGCTACACCGGGCCCTAAGAGTGGAGATGGCCAAGGCACAGTTAGGCAATGGAGAATTTTCAGCCGTGGCTTGGTATTAAAGTACTTACAAATCAGACTGTCTCAGGTGCTTGCACCTCCAGCCACCTGATGGCTACAGTCTGGGAGCATGCACATTCCTCGGGCCACATCACTTCCCTGCCTAAACCTTTCAGTGGCTCCAGAATGCCCACAAGTTCAGGTCTGAGCACTCTTTCCTGGTCACCAGGCCTGTTAAGACTGGGCTGGCATTTCAGGGGCATGTCTTGTACCTTCCGGCCTCACAGTCCACACTGCAGCAGGATCAACCACCCCCAGGCCTGGAGTCCAGCCACGCTGACTCTTCGCCTCTGCCTTGGCACATTCTGTTCCCTCCTCTGGAAGCTCCCTTCCTCTTCCACCAACCACCCCTTTCCCTGGGTACCTCCTGCCATTTCTGCAAGACTGAAATCTAAAAGGAGCAGTTCTCTGACTTCTTCCCCCTCCTCCCAGGGCTAGGGATCTTTCATCGGCACTATGTTCCTGGCATCCAGTACAGGGGTGGGTGCAGGAAAAAATGACCGGTGAATGCTTGTGAAATTAATGAACCTGTTGGTGACGAACAGCATGGTTTATTTGCACAGGGAAATATGTGAGAAAGACGCGGGCTAAAGCAATCAAGTTAATGTTTCACGGGGCTGGAGAGTCCAACCTTGTATTTCAACCAGCACCAAAGTACGCAGCTAGCTGAGGCTCAATCCACTTTCAGAATGAGGAACCCCAGCAGAAAAGCACAAGGTTGTGCACCAGACATAAGTATTTTGTCAATAAATACTTTAGAGCACATTTTCTGGAATAAAATATAGAGATAGTTGTCAATATAAAGGCAGGAATGTTCTCTGCAAAAAAAAAAAAAAGAGAGAGAGAGAGAGAGAGAATGAAAGGAAGAAAAGGAAAGAGGCTTAGAAAACTACCCACAGCATGACCTTGACCCAGGCTAGAACCACGAACCCTTAAACCTGAGGGTGGTACTACACCATGTCCAAACTCCTCCCAGGACACACGAGGGCTCCACTACCTCTCCTCTGCGGCCAGCTCCTACTCGCCCATACTCTAGCCTCAACACCAGGAAGAGCTGAGGCCCCCAACCCTAGCTGGCCCTCACTGCCCTCACCACCACAGAGGGTCATTCAGTTTCACCAGATCAGGAACCCCGACGAGGAAGGACCCAGGGCCCGGCGCAGCAGCACCGGCTTAACTGACACTGACGTGCCCACCTATCCTTTCCAGAGGGGCTGTTCTGGGGGCATCTGAATAGCACCATGGCCTGGGCAGCCCTAGAATCCATGGGCTATGTGCACACAAGCCTGCCCCCTGGGCAGTGATGACCAAGCACAGATCTCAGGACAGACTGTCCAGCCTCAGAGCCAGCTGCTCTGCCTAACCATGACTGCCCTCTGTTATACACAGACAACCAAGTACAGTCCCGTGGGGAGCTACACGGGCCTGGTGAACACCCAGGCAGTGCCTGGCACCCGGCAGGCTCCAGGTCTTAGGTCTGATTTGGGGAACCAGGGAGATGGGTCAGCACAATAGGAAGCAGCCACAGTGGGGCAGCTCTGGGCTGCCTGCACTTAGGAGGCACTTTGCTCTTGGTTAAGCTCCGAGCAGCTCCGTCAGGGCACGTGGAGGTTCTGTAATTCTCCTTTCACAGGTGAAGGAAATGAGCTTCAGAGAAATTAGGTAAGTTGCCCAGGGCCACACAGCATTGGAAACAAAGTTCTGCTATGGCCAAATACACAGCTATGTCCACCTGAGCCTCAAGGCTCCAGAGCCCTGGAGTCTGGAAGAGGCTGGGCAGCCTACCCAATTCCTTGACCAGGGAGGCTGCCGCTAGGACGCCCTCCTCAGAGCCCTGGAGTTTAGCCAAGAAAGTTTCCTTAAGCTGCCCTGGAAGGCTAAAGAGAGCAGCCTCCGCTGTGCCAGGGGCGAGGGGCTGCGCGCGCTCACACGCTCACACACACACACACACACACACACACACACACACACGTGTGCGCGCGCGCACTCACGATACAGCCCGCCCACCCAGGCCACTTTCTTCTGCTTCCAGCTCTGAAGGCGATCTGGGCTCCTGGAGCCCAAGCCGGAGCAACCTCCGGAGCAACCTCTGGACTCGCCCATGAAGCCAACTCTCCCATTTACACCCCCAGTGGAGGCTTGGGTTCCACTCCCCCCCACCCCGGAATCTGCAGCCCCAACCCCAGACTCAGGCCCGTCCCAGCCCCTCAAGGGTACCCAAGGCATAGGGCTTGCCTCGGTAGAAGCCCAGCGCTTGGCACAGGGCCCAGCGCACCGCTGGCGCGCGGCGACTTGGCTGCGCCCGGGACCCCGCGCCCAGCTGCGGCGTGTGGCACCCAGCAGGCGCTCGGCGAAGGATGGCGGAGGAAGGGATTCCCGGCCCACGCCCGAGCGTGGCGGGGAGCGGCGGCTGGTGGCCTCTTACCTTCTTCATTCTCGTCAAACACGGGGGGCTTGTGGGAGTGGTTCCCGCCCATATTCCGCCGCGGCGGCCGCCGCTGCTACATGCCCGGCCGCGGAGATGTGGGGTGCGGGATGCTCGCAGGGATGCGGGGTGCGGGATGCGGGATGCGCTGGGAGCGCCCAGCCCAGGTTGGAGCAGCGCGCCGAGCCAGAGGGGGCCGAGAGCCGTGCAGGGGCGGGGACCGCGCCGCCGCGCCCCCTGCTCCCAGGCGCCCCCAGGGCCGCGCTTTCCCCCGGCTGTGCCTAGCACCAGCGCCGGTGTGGGAACCCGGGGACTCCCCGCGCCTGGCCACCGTGCCGCGCGGCCGCCGGCTGCAGAGGGCGGGAGACGGTGGCGGCGGGGGCGAAGGAGGAGGAGGAGAGGGAGGGAACCGGCGACGACCGTACGGAGGGGGCGCGGCGTTGGGCGCAGCCCGGGGCGGCCGGGGAGGGGCGGGGACCACGACTGGGCGCACGCCCCGGGTCGGGCGCGGACACCAGCCTGGAGCCGACGGCCGGAGGAGGTCGGCAGGACGGCCGCTGTCGGCGGTTAGTGTTCTGAGCACCCACTACCCGCCAGGGCCAAGCCCTTTGTAAGCCACCCCAGATCCCCTCTCAACAGCCCAAGAGTTAGAAACCATTGCTCCACGTTAGAGCTGGTGGGCTGAGTTCGGGGTTGGGGGGCTCTCCATCCCAGGCCCCCCCCAGGTGTCGGGCCTGGGACGCAGCAGCAGTCGGTGGACCTGATCGACAACAGGCGGGTTTACTCTTTGTGTTTTTCTAGATACGTAATGAATGAAAAGTGCAGCCTAGACCCTCCAGGGCCTCGGCTGGCCCCTCCTTGTACATCAGGAAACTAAGCCCGAGACACTGGCGCTTTGCCCTGATCCGTCCTCTCTGGGAATGGCCGGGCGTAGACCTCGGGATTCCCTCAAACTGTGCTGCCTTGGTGGCCGATTTGGAGGCGGGGGTTCTGGTCTAGGTGCCTGTGCAGCGCAGGTGGGAGAAAGGCGCACCGGGGACAAAGGTGCCCAAGGAGTGGGGTGAGACCCGTGCACCCTGAGGCTTGCGGGGCGGGAGTGAGCGGGCACCGGCTCCGAGCACGCTCCCTGAGCGCAGGCTGGTACCGGTGCCGCGCTGTGCTATCCGCTCTCCGCGAGGCCTGCCTGGGATTTTTGGCCACATCCTGCCATCTGCTGGGCGCCTGGAGCCACTGTCCGTGCTTTGGTAGAAAGCAGCGGTTCTTTTTGTCTTCCCATCATCCTCTTTATCCCCACCTGGGTGTGTGTCTGTAGGACTCTCTCCCCTAGTCCACCCCCCCACCCCAGTCCCCCTGCTCCTTTCCCCTCCTATTTTCTCCCTCTTCCCCTCTTTCCTCCTTTCACTCTCAGAAAGTGACTCAGACATGGCTCTCTAAGGCTACTAAAAACATCCAGGGACAATAAAATGAGCTGAACTTGGAGCCAGCCCCATGCAGCAGGTTCCAGCCCAGGTTTTAGTCCTCCTTTGCAGACTTCAGCCTTGGAGTTCTCTTCTGTGGAATGGGGTGGTGATGCCAGGGCTGCTGTTAGGGCTGTATAGGCCAAAGAGCAGGGCACAGTGCCCGGCATGGAAAAACTGATGGATAAATATGTCTACTGGCAAGCACTGATGATGTGTCCAGCCTGCACCAGGCCATGCGCTGACAAAGGGGACCCTCATGAGGCAGAGGAGGAACATGGATAGGCACTGGGCTGGGCTTTCTTCCACTCTCCAGTAGGTAAACTTGAGTAGGTCTTTTAACCTTTTCTGGCTTTAGTTCCCTCATCTGTAAAATGGGGCTAATAATAGCACCTCCCCTTCCCGAGGGTTTTTATGAGGAATAAGTGAATTGATGTTGGTCCTTGGAACACAGTAAGCACAGCTCAAGCATCAGCTGTTATCCTCAGCAACAAGCTACTGTGTAAATTGTGCCAGTTGCTTAGTGTTTTCTCCTTTCCCTGACCTGGCTCTGCTGTCTGGGAGCAAGTGACTGGGCCACTTCAGAGATGTCACAGCACTTCCACCATGCCCCACAGAAGAGTTGACCAAGAACAAGACACCGGATGCAGACCTGAACCCCACATGCATCCAGAAACAGCTGCAGGTTCACAAGCAAGAAAAATGTGTGCTCTTATAAGCCACTGAGATGGGGGGGGTTGTTTTGAAGCATTATCCCAGAAATAGCTGACAGATACATATGTGAAATTAAGAGCCGTGCACACCAACAAAGATTCTGAATGTAGTTTGTGCTGTGGTTGAAGGAATCCCAGCAGGCTTGGGGACAGCAAGGGTACCAGCCCTAACTCTGAGAGACTAGGAAGGCAGAGGGACCCCAGGGACAGATTTAGTACCGTTTCTTGCCCTTTCCGCTTTCCAGCATTTTCTACACATGTTTCGTGGCCACTCAGGTGATGAGCCGGGCTCTGCCTTTGTGAAGTCTAGTGTTTAGAAGTTCTGGACAAGCCTGAGAGCATGTTGGGTAGCATGTGGGGTAGGGATTGGGTGAACCCAAGGCTAGGAGGGTCAGGGGAGACCCCAGAACTACACCTGGGGTCAGAGGGGCTTCCCAGGAGAAATGGTATTTGAGCTGATGCTGGAAGGCAGGGAGGAATCTGCTTGGAAAGAAGGGGGTGCCCACACAGTCCCCCAGGCCAAGAGAGGAGGGCCCTTCATAGCAGCTGGTAGAAGCTTGGGTGGTCTGTAAGGATCCCACGCCCTCTCTGTGCAGAGCTCTGTGCTAGAACTGCATGGGCACTCAGGCTTGGCAAGCCCTCTGCTCCTCTGCATGTTTATAGATGATGTGCCAGGCCCTGGTCCTGTGGGTGTCTTCTATGCATTACCCCTTTATAACCACACAAGACCTGGCAGGCAGGTGTTATCAATATCCTGGGCCGAGGGAGACTGAGTCACCAAAAGGCTATGTTAAGGGCAAACGGCTGAGAAGGGAGGAATCTGAGATTCAGGATCAGCAATGGAACATACATAGCAACCTACCAAAAGGACATAGGTGGTCATCCAAAATGCAATCATGGCCCTTTCTAGAGTCGTAAAAACTCAGATTTTTAAATTTTCCTTTTTAAGTGCCTTTGTATCATTTTACATATTATTTCAATCATTTTTTAAATCAATGAAAATTTCACTTTGAAAAAAAAAATCTTTGGACACTAACCCATCCTGATTTTTTAAGACATGAGTCACCGTTTCTTGCCAGTCAGAAGGGCAGTGCGGTTGCCCACGGTTTGCAGATAGAGACAGGGAGGCTCTGGGAGACTGGTGGCTGGTCCTGAATGCCACAGTTACTGTCTTCTCTTCCCAGGCGGCTGTAACAAGTGAGCACACACTTAGTGGCTGGAAACAACAGAAATTTACTGTCCTTGTTCTGGAGACCAGAAATCCAAAATGAGCCCCTGAGCAGGCTGGTCTCCTCTAGACAGCGTCAGGGAGGATGGGCTCAGGCCTCTTCCAGCTTCTGGGGGCTGCAGATGGTCCTTGGTTGGGCCTCAGGACTCTGCTCTCTGCTGCTGGCTTCCTGTGGCCCTCCCCTGTCTGCCTCCCTGGGCCTTCTCCTCTTCAATGGCTCAAGTGGTGTGGCCGCCACGGTGAGGATCATCCTGTTGAGAAGACCGAGGGGAGGGGAGGCTGTGAGCAGCAGCACCGGCTTCCGGCTGCATATATAATGCAGGAAGAAGAGATGGCGTGGGGTGAACGGCAGGGGCATTGGGGACAAGGGGTCAGGTCCACAGAGGCAGGGCTCATAGGTTTTCCTGGGAGATGGGTTGAAAGGTGCAAAAAGAGGAATCAAAAGCTTGACCACCTGGAGGGATAGAGCTGGGGAGGCCATGGGTGGACAGGCCCCTGTGCTCTGGTGGGGGTGAGGGGGGAGGTGGAGATCAAGAGTTTGGAGGTGGGGCCTGTTAAATTGAAGGGGTCTGTTAGGTTAGTGCAGACTCTGAGCAGATGTGCGTGAGGGTCAGGGGCAAAGTGGAGACTAGAACTTTAAATGAGGAGTCCTGAAAACATCGGTGATGTTTGAGGCCCTGGGCATCTTGGGGATTCAAAGACCAAACTCATGGCCTCCAACCCAAAGAGTCTGAGGAGGTGCAGGGGAGCAGCCAGGCAGAGAGGGTGTTGGGGTCACCTGGAGGGGGAGCAGCACAAGTCAGCCGCGTCTAGTGAGGGGACAGGAGGCGGGCCCTGGAGGACGCTGTGAGAACGAGGCACTCTGGTGCCTGGGAAGCCGCAGAGCAGCTCCTGGCACATCGCAGACCAACAAAATGCGCGTACTGTTGGCCACGAGGATGGCACGAGAAGTGGAGCTCACAAAACCTAGTTGCAGGCGGGGTCTAGACGGTTGGCAAAAGGCTTCCTCACGGACACTGACTTCTTAGTAAAATGCCCTCAGCTGGTGTGCCTCAGACCCCGTCTGCAGCAGCAGTGGCCAGGTGCGGAAGGACATCTGCAGGTGCTCAGGTCCCCAGGAAGCGGAGCAGACGCTCTGCATCTAGTCACACAGAAGGCAGCGGCTCACTCTGCGGGATGCAGAGCCTGAGATTCATGGGATCCCGGGAATCCATGTGCAAGCAGACACGGGAAAGACGCTGGAAACCCCAGGCTGTGTCTTCACGCCTCACACGGTTCAATTCTGAACTTTCCCTCATTATGAATCTCCAGTAGATCCACAAAAAGGGATTTTCCAGGTGTTTGGGGGAAGAACTTGAGACAAGAAAGACTCGATAGGCATTTGCAGTCAAAAGCCCGCTGCCTAAGAAGACAGTTGAAAGTTCGTTCTCCTACAGGCGCCTGGGCAGACACCCTCTCCTGTCAGGGGACAGACATTTAACCTGGCCACCCTAAACCAGGCTGCCCCCACCCTGCAAGGTCCACCAGGAAGTCCCAGGTGAGTAGGGATGGACGGCCAAGCTCTGCTCTCTCTCCCACCTCTGCTCTTCTCAGCAGACTGCGGAGAGTGGATCCCCAGAAACCCTTGCCATGACACCCCATGGGCAAAGGCGCTGGTCCTGTAACACCGAGGCAGTGTGAAGGGATATTCTAAGTACACACCCTTCCTCCATCCTGCCCAGTGTCGGCTGCCAGCCCATCTCGGGAGAGGAGTTCTTCAGTAAATTCAGCAAGAATCATGTAGCCTTTT